TGATAATCGAATTTGAAATAAGACCTGAATCATGGCGGGGTTCAGGCAATAACCTCTCAGTTTCCATTTTGTCCTTAACCTTCATTCAGAATCAATAAAACTAGTGTGCCAACCATGACAACCCTCAGATGGCCAAAATGATAATTATATTAGTCAGATGAGGTAATTGACAGGAAGCCTTGTTCGATCTAGGTTTCGTCCATTTCGGCACTTGTTAGCAAGCGTGTCTGCCAACCACGACGGAACTGAAATTACCACTGAGCTATTCGGGTCACGACTGGACGGAATTCAGCATGAGTGACGCGGGTTTGAATTTCAAGCGGCGAAACATCACTTCCGTCGTGGTTGCAGACACTCCCTGCTGACGAGTGTCAAAATGCACGAAAACCTAGGTTGAGCAAGTCTCCCTGCTGATTGCCACCATTCAAATAACACCTATCACAGTTCATCGTCATGTTGTGTCAGATAGCTTCGTGGACACATTACAATATGAAGTTGGTTGCTCTGCAGTGACCAGTCACTGATAATCATATTACTTTCAAAACGTCATTTCTGCATTACCATTTAGGCTAAGTGTATTACTTTGATGTATATTCCTAAGATGTAACATGACATACTTGTTATGTACATCCCTGTAAATTTTATTTATGATTTAATAAGTGAGTAGTCTCACCAGTATTTATGCGAAGTATAAAGTCAAGTATAATCGAGCTAACTATCCATCATGTTCTCTGCTTACCATGTACTTTTCTGTTTCCATCTTCGTATACATACTGCTATCCATAACGATAAAAATAGTTGAATCTTAAAGCGAGGCAAACAAAATATATGAACAATTATCAACTTACTAAACTTGTAGCATCTGTCATATCTGTTGATGACTTTATATTGCAAGAGTTCGTTATGTTTTCTTCTTTGGTTTCATGAATATTTTTGGTATCATCAGTGTTCCATTGTGAGTTGTCAGCTTTTCTTGACGACTGATTATGATTTGAAGGAGATGGTATAGATGACGAAGAAAGAAGGTGAAGAGGAGGGGGAGGGTGATGAAGGTGAATGCGGCGATTTTAATGGATTCATTGAACATTGATCATGTTTAACTAAATTCAATTTATTACTATACGGTAATTGTATTCCATCTAAACTATTCATTGATTTACCTTTTTGATCAACAGTTGAACATTGAGTAGTCATGTCAATCAACGATGAATGGATTGTTTCATTCGATGAACACTTTTGTTGAATATCACCATTGAATGAAATATGATTATGTTCTTTTGAAGTAGAGCTAAGTTTGTTGATATAATCCTCATTTAGCGATCCTAATGAACATATACTACTGGTACCAGTAGCAGAAGTGGTTGTAGCAGTATTAACATTGGTATAAAGGGATAAATGATTATCAACTGGTGTTCTTAATTCAGACTTTTGTTGTTGCTGTTTAAACTTCAATGAACGATTATTCACGAGGGATGAATTTGAACGATTTGAAACTGTTCCAGATGTACACATATTTGATACTTCCACAGGATTACTAGTAGCAGAAGCAATGGCAGTAGCAGCATTCGTTGAGGTGGAACTAGAAGTATTATTAGTAATCCCAATAGTAGAATCCATGATTGATGAATGATTTTGATCTTTACTTAATTGTCGTGTAGATAATTTTTGTCCTGTTCTCTGTTGTGATGATGGTGCTGGTTGTGATAGTAAATCACACATTAGACGGCTGAGATTTACTTCTTGTCTATGAAAGCAGTTTTCTTCGTCCTTTCTCCTTTGTAGGACGTTTATGTGATCAAGTTGTACAGTAGTAGTGCACGAAGAAGAAGCGTGTTATGTACAGAAATGTCACCTAAAATATAAACAAGTTGTTTTGTTGGGATTAATGATTATAATAACAATGTTCACAAAGTGTAGAATTCTTGTTAAAAACATTGAAGGAAAAGCTTTAAATCCAGGTAGAATTACTCTGACAAGTGTATGATATATCTTATAATGATGATGGAGAATGTTTAACAGCGGAATCCAGGAGGTGGATTTCGTCCTAGTTGGGGCTCGTCAGCTGGATATACCTGCTTCCTAGTGGACGGTGTTCTCCAGCCCAGAATCCGTCTCTCCACTAAGCCACCAAATCACGATAGCCACTTGCGTGTATTATTCCTGGTAATATCGAAGCATCTACACAGGAGCCCATATGCCAATAGAGACAGAAAAATTTGTCGCAATTAATAACGAGATAATACAGGCAATAACATATGATGAGTCTGTTAGAAGATGAAACTCCATGGCATTGTAGATAATGCTGCGCTTATCAGCTAAGTAAGTGATTTTTAACAAGTTTATTATGTTGACAACCATGTCAGTGATATGGCCTACATATTCAACTTACTCCTAGGTAAATGGATTAGTATAATTATTAAATGTCTATCCAGAAGCATTAAAAGTCATGCTTTATCCCATCAGAATATGTACATATTGCTGGGCTATACAAACATTAAGGCTTCATTATATTGTTATTTAGTTCATGGTGTATATATCCCTTCGTCTATGAACCATGGAATGCTTGATTGAATCCTGTAAACAGATATCAGCAGTATGATTTCTTAACAATACTTTAGTAATTAATATGGGTGTAAAACTTGGGCATTGTGGTAGAATGTAATTCCATATTATTTGATACGTAGCATACAGTGATATAGTATTACTTACTAGATGACGAGGTCTCCAGCATAAATTCTCATTGCTCACAATCATATCAGTTCAATCACACTACTTCCCATACCTGATTTTTATAGTCATGTCACCTCATATTATTTGTTTTATTTGATACTAGTGCAATTTTCCATATCTCCAGCACAGGTGTTGCGTCATTCCTGTCACATATGTTGGATGTTGATTCGATGAACAAGATTCAGTAATCAATCTCTCTCTCCATCTAATCATACTAGACTTAAGTACAGTAGCCTTATCCCACCCACCCTAGTGTGTGATTGTGTGTCAGTGCATGCATTATACAAGTCGAGTTTTCTTTCTAAATTATTGATCTTATTGGGGTTGGTCATTCTATATATTTGGCTAAATTCCTATGTTCCACCATTCCAACTGACGCTGACCGACTAGTTTGACCCACTTACTTGACCTTATAGTCATTGCATGGGAGTTGGTAGATCAGATTATTTTGTTCAATTGGTTCTGTAGGATCCTTAAGCCAGCTGACAAAGCTTATCTCTGAGTGAGTTTGTATGTTTAAATGCTACTATGATTTGAGCTTTGTTGAGGATCTTACGTAGAGTTTCTGATGTTCCTACGTGGAGGCTGTGAACTCCTTTCTACTTGTCTTGTCGTTATTATTTTTCGTACTAGCGGCACTATAAAAAAAACCAGAAAATCCTATGAATATTCTTCTGAGTACTTTAGTTACCTCTTACATTATTTACCAGAAACGTTTCTAGGTAGGATGTCCTCAAACATTTTTATTTTATCGCAATTTCGACCAAACATATTCAAATATTTACTAGACAATAGAGTGCAATTATTGTGTAATAAATATCCAGATCTGTGTAAGTGGAGTAGAACTTAAAGCAGTTAGCTATCTAGATCAATGATTTCAAAACCTCTAAGTAGTTTAATTGTATAAGTGTAAAATTCCACTTTCGATTATCTAACTGATACATGGTAACTTATTGTATGACGTTTCTAGCAGAATTTGATGCAATTGTGAGCAACCAGTTCTGTTCAAAAGTTGTCTGGTATGTGTATTGAATCAAATAAGTGACCCAAGTACAGTATATTGGATCTTCAGGCAATTTCGATGCATCTGCATCGGAGCCCATATGTTGACAGAGGATGATCAACTCGATCTGGTTTATCAGTGAGGGGACTACAAGCACCAATAAATAACAAGTGATACCTGTTGCAAAAAGAAGCGGTTCTCATGCCCTTATAGCCTAGTGGACAACACTTTGGAATTTGAAATATTGGGTACTGAGTTAGAATATCAACAGAAGGATTTTCATTCACTGGAATGCAGGTGTCTTGAGTAGAACAAGGCACACATTCTACTAGCAATCGCCAATCAGATTAAAATTCACACAGATTTATCTTTGTAATGCATATTACTGTGTACATAAACTTTCAAGTCGGTTATTCAAGAGATACAACTCAGTTTTTTCCTTCAATTTCACCTGCAATTACCTCTGTTCAATATTCAATCTGATCAATTTTAATCAAACTTCACTGATTAGTGTCAGAGAAATGAAACCAAATTACAACATAGGAATGACAAATGGATCTGTGTACTAGGCAACCAATTACATTCAATAAGTGAAGATTATTATCTAATCTTTGATCTTATGAAGAAAGGCGTTAAGCCCAATGATCCTTTACTTATTTAAGCCAGTGTGCTATAGAACTCCTACATAGATAGAGATGAAATGTGTCACTCCAAGTATCTGCACTTACAGTACCGTATCAAAAAGTTGACAAAACTGGGGTATCTGCAGGAATTGACAAAAAGAATGGAGTAAGTCCAAATCTGTAGGGAAGGAGAATGATCTTCAGGTAATGTCATGTCAACCAAGAACCTATCACTCAACAAATATGTAGAAGGAAATGGAGATGGATTGGATTGGATTGGGCATGCACTGAGAAGACCATCGGAGGACATCACTCACCAGGCCATCGAGTGGAACCCAGATGGGAAATGGCGAGTTGGGCGTCCCAGCTGAGGGTGACATGGAGGAGATGGTGTGAGGAAGAAATGAGAGCTTGTGGGCAGTTGTTGAGCCAGGTTGAAAAGATTTCAGAGAAAGGAGTGGGATGGGGACTTGCTACTGAAGCTGTATGTTTTACTAGGAACCCAAGGGAAAAAATAATAATAATAATGTCATGTACAGAATTTCATACACATAATAATTCAAAACTATATCGCTCAATACCATATAACAAGATGTTACTGGTGATATGATCGATTTATCACTCCGTTTCTCCCTCAATTCATCTCATCATCAGTGTAGTAAGCATATTTTAAATAAATGAACTTCATAAAGAAGTTAGAAAATTGTCATTTTTAGCAACGCTTTTTCTACATCATGTTTTTGTTTGTATTATCCCCTCGTTGACTGGACCGAATTGATCGGTCTCTGTTGGCATTTGGCCTCCTGCACGGAAGCCTCAATATTACAGTTACAAGAGTTCATATGTCAATAGAGACCGACTAATTCAATCAAAACAACAACATAACAACTTTACCTATCACACAAGAAGTCGTCATCATGACTCTCTGGCTTAGTGGATAACGCTCTGGTGTTTGAAGATATCCGTTCCAAGTTCGAGTCTTGCTGGGAACAACACTACTCACTGGGAAATAGATATATCGAGCTGACGAGTCCCCAGTAGGACAAAATGTGCTTACTAGACTCCATTGCTAGACACTACCCATCATCAACTTCTTTCCAGTTCACTTGAGATAACCATAGTTTATAAATCTCAGTCTCTCGAAGGTGACTGTATCATTCCACTGATGATTGTGGAAAAGCGTTACGATCGCTTCATTTTCTCCCTACTTATCTGATACAGTCCCTCTCCTATCACAAAAGACAACATGTTTAGACTTTATAATGTAATTGTGAACTCATTCGAAGTTAGAAGAGCACTACATTCACTTTATGACTAATCTGTACAGATAGTTGAATTTTTGTCAAGCTCCAATTCCATAAAGCTACGAATTTTTTTAGTATACTAACTGCTAGAAGTAATGCACAACCTGATTGATGAATGAACCATTCAATCATGTAATGGAAAAAAAAGAATTCAATGAAATTTAAAAAAATAATGACTTACAGCAAAATTATTAATTGATAATTAAAAAGCCTTTGAATTTTATTAGTTTCACAATTGACAAATTTGTATAAAAATTAAAATTCAATTACGTTACTTCAATGATTTAGCCGTTATTCAAACAATATTGAACATTGAACAGTAGGTTGAATATTTTTGCGAAATTCTTAATTCTGAGAAGAATTAAAGCGAGGCGTGAAAAAGTTTAATAATTTTGATTTGCGCTTAATTCCCACTTATGCACAGTTAATTATTACTAGTATTCCACAGATAATATGAATTATATATAGACATCTACAGAAATTCTCCCCTTTTCTTCAAATGTATTTTATCAATTTTCCTGCCACTTTAGGGATACAGTTTAATCCAGATTGGATGACAAAGAGGTGGGGTTAGTGATAATCATATTACGGCTATGGTGAAGAGATTTGTTTAATGTAAATGTCCACCTCCTTTCTATTCATCTGTATGCTAAGGCATAATTTCCAATCGGTCAGGTTTTGAATTCCTATCTATCCAATCAGAAGAGGAGATGTGTACAACACTCACGTAGACACTCACTTATACACTTCGATATTACTATTCTATTATAATCCACGTGTTTGTGTGTAATGTTACGATAAACCAACGAAATTCCCTAAATAATTTACCCCTCTTAATCCCCTCATTTATCTAATTTTTATATTAAAAATTATATTTGAAAATATTTTTCCTACCTCTTACCTATGTCTGTTGTAAAAATACTGTAACAATTATCTATTGGGTAGAAAGTTCCAACTGGATATGTCCCTGTGTTTGTTGTGTTGCTTATTCAGTAGCTGAGTGACGTCCACGTATTAGTGGAACAGTAAAAACCAGAAATAGAGTTAAGGCTAGTTACATTTTTTCTCGTTTCATACGCTTACATTATTACATTGACTTCTAAAAGTATGCAGACTATAATTCTGA